TCCAGTTGAATTAAATGTGATCTTGAAGAGTGATGGGAATGGAACTCTTTTTAAATCCATGGCAGCAAATTCAGGTGCACAGCAGGTCGTTTTCTCTGTGCTGCAAAATGCACAACTTGGTCCCTTTCCTTCAGAGGGAACAGAGGTACCTGGGTAAAGATTCACAGCTGAAAAGGGCACCCACTGAACACTGACCAACACCCTCACCTGACATACATGTCCTGTGCCAGTCTTGGATCTATTTTTTTAAAAACACAGAAAATAACTCAGGTGTGCAACACTACAATGAAATAATCCCCTCAAGTTTGAGGAGCCCTGAGGTAGCTCTGATACTACTTGAAGAAGGACATTCAGGGACCTGGGGGAGATGCTACTGAAGTAAAAAAGGTTTAAGAGAGACAACTCCAAGATACATGTAACTTCCCCAGGGGGGAGAAAAAGAAAAAACTCTCTAAGTGCTTCAAGGAGAGAAAGAAGATACAGCACAGGTGATGTTCTGATGTTCCTTGACACCAAGTAGCAGACTTTGGGGTAATGGTCTTTTTAGATCTATGTTACAGCAGCACATAAGCCCAGTTTTACCTCTAATTGATTAAAGCTCTCCAATGTGTAAAAACACAGTACAGACTCTTGAAACAAGACCAGAGTTTACAAGAAGAGAGGAGAGCCAGCAACACAGTCCTGAGATAAAAAACTGTCTCATGGCCCAGAGCAGAGCTCTGCCCTCCACCTTCTCCCACCAGGACATCTGGCTGTGGGTTTTCCCATGTTACATATCACACACCCCACATTCCTCAGTTCATTTGCCAGGGCATTTTAATCCCTCTTCAGTAAAAATGTGTTGATGTCATTAAACTGTATTATTCTTGTTAAAACTTCTATATCTCAAATGTATGTGAAGCCACATGGGGGCAAGTGATTTCTGACTCAAGTAATGCCAGTGAATACTACAGGGCATTTATCTACATGTTTGGTGGAAAAAGGATACGTACCACTTATTAGTAACAGTGACAAAATTTCAACTTTATTTCCATTTGAAAACATCAGTTCACCCTGACAGCAGACAATAATGTTTCTGTCAAAGCCTTCATTAGAAAGGGTTTCTCAGACCAAGGACAGATATTCTAATGAAGCCAGATACTCCATCTCACATGGAAAAACCATTTCCTTGCTTAGGACATTGTTTAGGAGATGTCCATCAACTCTTGATTCAACTCTAAAGAATCTTCCAAACTTACTTTCCCACATCTAAAGAAGGAAACTGATTTATTTGCAGAGTCCTCTATTATTTGTCTATGTCATTGCCTTGCAGGACAGGGAAAAGAATGAAAATTCTGTCCTAATAGACTAGAAAAGGGCTTTGTACAATTCCTCTGACACAAGAGTACAGAGATGGCAAGAACAGCTGTAATGCAGAAACAGAGCTTTGTTGTCCATCAGTCTGAGAGGACAAATGGAAATGATGAACGCAGTGACACCAAATAGAATCAGTTTTGCTCAAAAGACGGCCAAAAGCGGCTACATAATGCTCAACATTTGTACATCATATTAAATTATTTTAGAACAGCTCCACATACTGTACAGCTCCATATTGCACTGACATAAAAAAAAAAAAAAAAAAAAGAAATTGAAGCACTGAAATGGCAAATGAGGACAAACTCTCCTCACAGCAGTTTTCACAAAGGTAAGAAACAAGCTTTATGTATCAGCATGTTTCCTCCAAGGGTTGCAGCAGCACTGATGGTTTCCTGCTCCTGACAGCAGGTTCGGGGCCTTTTCTCTTCTGATTTTCATGATGCTTCCTGTGGTTGTACTCCCAGACAGTGCTGTCTGTGCTCCCAGCTGGTCAGACACTTCAACTCACCTCAAACCAGGACTTCTGTGCAAGAAGTGCTCCTTTTGTTCTTGCTGGTCAGACCCACTGCAGACAACTGCCCACTGCTAGGACTAGGAAATAAAAAAATATCAGCGTGTCAGATTACAGATATCATCCATGGAGGGGGAGCAAACAGGAGGTGCTTCAGCATCCTGTGAGAAACGCCACAGGATGGCCAACTTAAAATCTGACCCAGAAGAAAGGCTCCTGTGAGTCTGGGGAAACCTGAAGCAAGTCTGCAAAACCCTTCTAGATGTATTACAGCTCCACCATTAAACTCCCAGATACACAGTCCCATTTTGGGCCTCTCACTACAAGAAGGACGTTGAGGTCCTTAAGCGAGTCCAGAGAAAGGCAATGGAGCTGGGGAAGGGTCTGGAGCACAAATCCATGTGAGGATCAGCTGAGGGAGCTGGGGGGGGCTCAACCTAGGGGTCCTTACTGCTCTCTACAACTCCCTGAAAGCAGGTTGGCTAGCCAGGCAGAGGTTGGTCTCTTCTCCCAATTAACAAGTCATAGGACAAGAGGAGACAGCTTCAAATTGTGCCTGAGGAGGTTTAGATGGGATATTAGGAACAATTTCATCACTGAAAGGATTGCAAAGCTTTGGAACAGGCTGCCCAGGGCAGTGGTGGAATCACCATCCCTGCAAGGTTTTCAAAAACACGTAGCTGTGGCACTGAGGGACTTGGTTTTGTCGTGGACTTGGCAGTGCTGGGTTAGTGGTTGGACTCGATCTCAGAGGTCTTCAAAACATAAACAATTATATGATTCTATGATTTTGAGGCTCCCTGAAACAAGACTACTTTTTAATTTTTTTTAATTATTTCAGGTGTAACAAACTTTTTCAGCTCTCATGAGTCAAACTCCATGTTCACACTCAAGTTTACATAAGTGGATGACTAACATTTTCCCCCTCTGCTATGCCATGATAAACACCTACACATGGTTTCTTCCACCCAGGTGAGTGACAACATCGACCCAAATTCTTAGGCACATGCAGCCACAGTTTCCACATCAAGTTTTGCCCAGTGAGATCACTTAATACTTTTATCAAATGTTGCTGAGTCATGGGATTAGTGAAATTTAGAGCTGTTGTTTCCAGAAGGTTATTTTGGTGGTAACTTGAGAGAACTTTAACTTTCAAACTTTCAGTCCTAACCTAAAGCCTGATAAGATGTCAAACACCTTCACTGTTGTTTGGATCCTCAATCTGTATAAGCAAGAAATGTAATCTCAGTTTATTAAATTTGGAGCAGCCACAAACACGTCCTTTCTTTTTCCTCTGTTAGGCAGGAAAAATCATCAGCAGAAGTTTGAGGCTTGGTGGTTTCGTTTGTTATTGGGTTTGGAGGGTTGGGTTTTAATTTTTTTTTACTGGTTAGTTGTTTTGGTTTGGGTTTTTTTAAGAGAAAACTTTCTGCAATGCATTTAAACTTAGCACATAACAGTAGGGCTGGATGCAACTGAAGACTAAGTTGGAGAGGTAGGATGCATGGGAGTCAGAAGTTCCACAAACATGCAGCCTGCCCCAAACAACCCAAACACTAATATCAGAAGGGAGTCATAGTTTACACAACCCCTCTATTTCCCCTCATAAACCAAGTATGTTTGCACACACTGTGAGTGAAAGACCCCAGCTAAAGAGGATTCCCTTTCGTAAACAGAGTGTGAAACCACTAAAGCCTTGGTACCAAAAGAAATCCAAGAACAACAGAGAAAAGTTTTCCAGTACAGGTAGGATGCACCAACTCAGTGATGCCAATGCATTAATTCTGACAATGTTTTCCTAGGAAGCTGCTAAAACACAGTTGTTTCCTTAAGGAAAAAACTTGCCTTTAAGGAATTGCCCAGATTTTTAAAAAGCCCTCAAGTTCTCAGGAGTTCTTTTGTATCAATTAGCACCAAACACACAGTCTGGGCTCCGAATGGTTTCCATTCATCAGCTGAAAGCAGAACAATCCTCTGACATCCTAAAGCAGCCCTGCTGGCATACAGATCCACATTTTTGTGAAGGAAGCAACCAGGTGATTGCATTGGGGTTTTGGACTCCTAATTCAGTTCCTTCCTTAGTAACCTTAATCTAATCTACAAATGGGGGAAAAAAAGTCACTGGCATTGTGTATCTAAAGGGCCTGGACCTCTACAGGTGAAGAGATTAGATTAAAATACCATTTTTAATTTTGTCACAACAGCAGTAGGTTATGCAGCAGTAACAAAAAGATCAATTGCCACTTCTGGTATGCAGGAGCTTAATATCCTCAGCATGCTTTTGAGATACCTCTATTTCCTTCAGCAAACATTTGCCTTAGAAAAATGTTAAACCAGGTAAGATGTAGTGGATGGTTCCATTCTTTTCATGTACAAATAAGCAGGTGTGTAAATTGGTAAATTAAGACAGTAACAGGGGAAAAAAATAATCTTTACCTTTTCTAGACCCCACTTGCGTCTTGATGAAAGGCAGTTCATCCTTAAGGCTTCTCTTGTCTGTAGATTTAAATTAAAAATATTAAAGGGAACGGTTTCTCAGGGAGTAGAAAATGTTCATATAATCCAAAATAAGTACCTTTCTGTCCAGAAGTGTCCCAAACAACAGGATGAAGAATCCCTAAGAAATTGCAAAACGAGTTAACAAAACCAGCACAGCCAAATGATGTTTCTTAAAGTGCTTCTAGATGTCATTTCCTTAAGGACAGACCTCATCAGCTAGGATTCAGGTAACAGCAATGCACAAAATGAGTTTATCAACCCAGGTCATACAGGCTCTCTGGGAACATCAGGAATGGATATACAACCTGTGTTAATTTTGACTGCAAACTGGACTGATGGGTTACATACCAGGACTTTCTCGGCCCACTCAGTAACAATCTGAATCAAGAAGAGCTAAGACAGAATCAGGTGTACAGCAGCGTGTCAGGTAACATTGGATGTTTATGCTGCTCAGTTAATCAAAACCATAGAATCAGTCATGGAATGGTTTGGGTTCAAAGGGACCTTAAAGACCATGTAGTTCCAACCCCCGTGCCACAGGCAGGGACATCTCCCACTAGACCAGGTTGCTCAAAGCCCCATCCAACCTGGCCTTGAACTCTTCCAGGGATGGGGCATCCACAGCTTTCCTGGGCAACCTGTTCCAGGGTCATCTTCAACAGCAAATGAGAATTTTGTGTGTATTTGTTAATTGATAAGGAGGAGATAACTTTGCAGTTACTGGACATTAACTGGTGTATTTTATGTTTAACAGAAAGTCACCTTCTTAATCGTTCAACACACTCTAAACCAACTATTTTGCCCCATTACCCACCTACCCTTATTACTCTAATACAGGATGCCTCATGCACGTCCTATGTAAAGGGGCTGAGCGAAAGGAAAGCTTAGATCATATTTTTCACGCACAATATGTACTGCCATCCCCCCTTTGACCTGATACCTTTATCCCAGGCTCAAAACCTGAGCACACACTATTCCCAGTCTCCCAGAGTTTACCTGGAAGGCATTCAGCAGCGCGAACGTGATGTGGAACGCCAGGGATCGGCTGTCGAGAATCGTTGCCAGTCCAAACCCCCATGTGAGACCCAGAAGAGGCGTCAGAAGGGCCACGTTTTTGCTGATTCGGATCATGCTGCTCAAATCCTGTGACTTGCAGCCTTCTCCCACAGAGGATCTCCCAGTCTTCACCACAACCACCACCACCACCACCAGGTTCACCACAATGATGCTCAGAGCGGGCACGACAAAGGCCAAAAGGGCTTTTGTCTCATACCAATTGAGCCAGCAGGCTCCACTCCTCAAATACCCGTTTTTTGGTTCAGTGATGGCAACAGTGAGGATAGATATGACCAAGGGACACCCATATCCAATAGAGCACGCTGCAGCCAGGAACACAGATCTCGTTATCTTAAAAAAAATTAATAATAATCCATAGAGAATCAAGAGGCCCAGTGTAAACATCCAAAAAAACAAGGCAAGGTAGAAAAAGTGAAGGAAAAATGTGGCTGCTACGCACAACTGGTAGTTCAGGGCTGTATTGTGCACAATAGCTGCCAGGATGAACAAAACATCAGCAACGAGCAGTGACGCAGCGATGTTGACCAGACAGAAGTGGCGCATGTAGGTTATTTCAGTTTTTGTGACGTGGTGCCAGACAACAGCCTCGATGACGAGGCAGAGAACCAGGCTGAGGATGGAAAGGCCCAAGCCCACGCGGGTGATGTAATCCAGCGCCGCGCTGCGCGGCGTGGCGGGGGACATCAGGATGGAGAAGGACTTGTAGGTCCGGCGCTGGTGGGTGCAGACGCAAACCGCGCTGCTGGCGGTGTCCGACTGCGTCCTGCACGCCCGGCTGTCCCAGCGCCGCTCAGCCGAGTGCCACCCCACGCACTGGGCCTCCACCTGCACCAGCTTGTTCACCTTCTCGAAGGTGAGCAACACGTGCCGGAGCTCCTCCGGCAGAGACACCGACAGCACCATCCCGTTCACGAACGCGGGCTCCGACTGGGCGCTCTCCATCACGGCCCCGAGCGTTGGGAGCGCAATGCTGATTGCCTTGGAAGCCCTGGGCAGCTTCAAAAGCTCCTCTTCTGGGATCGCCACGTGCCCAGAGATGTTGCCTGTGTTGTTGAACTCCATGGAAAAATCAAAGCTCGTTCCTGAGGTATTTCTGTGTATGCTGTAGCCTTTCGTAGCGATGAAGGGCTCCTCCACACTTTCCGACCCGTTCCTTAGAAGAAGCTTCCCAGCAAACAAATTCACCGAGTCCAGTAATTCTGAACCAGCGTTTCTGTCCCTTACAAAAGCCCAGTTGGAGATGATGGAGCTGTTCAGAATATGGTTTGCTATCCTGCTGTAGCTCTGAAACAAACATGAAAACTATAATTATTTTTTTTTTATAATAGAAGACACCAATTATTATTCTACTGGCAGAGCCTCCAGAAAGGTTCATTTAATTCATGAGTGATTTTTATAGAGGAAATATTCCTTTTGACACTGAACATGCTCCCCATGAACCACCCCAGTCAAACCTAAACATCTCATTACTTCAATTGTCCTATCCTCTCTACATCATAGATCAAAAGGTGGTTGGAGAAGTAAATATAAAGCAAAAAATCAGGACACCCTAGTTCCATTCCAGACACTGACCCACTGTGCAGGTCTGATTTACGTCACCCTCCCTGTATTTCTTCCCCCACCTCTGTGATTTCTGAGTTCATCGGGAAAAGACCTGTTTCTGTTGTGCAACACATGACAACAGAGCTGCAGGTCAGCATCTCCAAGGCTGGCTTCCCCACAGTGTCATACTTCCAAAATTAATTCTTCCTTGTACTACTATTCAATGGCTACAACAGCAAGTCCTGAAAACTTCTCCTTTTATAGAATTTTAATTCCACTGTGTATCGTTGTCACACATGATTAAGTTAAACAGTTTCTCTGACAACAAAACAACAGCCCATCCTAGAAACTCTTTGCAGGTGATCTCTGTGTGACTTGCAGTCACCACTTCACTGAACATTTTTGGCCATAAGGACAAAATACTGCATATGGATGCTCTGGAAACCTCAGCAGCACCTCCCAAAGGCCATAAGAGTAAATACCTGCATTTTTGCTCTGGTGACATTCTCTGATAACAGGAGGGAAATATTCTTCAGCAAACCCACTATATCAGCAATGTTTCCTGGAATGGCTGGTGAAGACAGGATATCTGGGATGATGCATGAAAAATCAGCTTGGCAGCTCCTACTTCCCTGGTCATCAGCACCAAAATGTTTTTGCCCATCTTCAGGCTTCCCATGCTCTTCTCCTACAAAAGGAAGATGTTCTCCAGCAACATGTCCTCCAGAGCATGGAAGGAGTCCACTTTCAGATATCCTCTGGAGGGAGGAAAACACATTTGAGAAAATTAAGGAACAGAATAAAAATGAAGCTTCAGTTACAACCAGGCAAGAGCTCCAGTGCTGGGTGTGCAGGGAATGTGCCAGATGGACTGAAACCCAGAACCAAAGCTCACCTGAGAAAACATTGTGCTGGTGCCACACACAAGAAAGAAGGGGCAAGAACTAAATGCAGGGCCTTAATCTTGAAGTGACTTGAGTTTTATTTTGTCCTTGAGGAGAATTTACCATGAATCATCTGATTATTAGAGATATTGCTGTTGCTCTTTCCTCAGGTTCATCCTGGAGCATCCTTCTCTTGGTTTAGATCCACATGAGGAACATCAACCAAGTGAACAGGGCAACTTTGTTTCTGAAATTTATTTCCTTTTGCTTGATTTAAGATGGTGAAAGGACAAGAGCACAAGTCTGATGAGGAACAGCTGAGGGAGCTGAGGATGTTTAGCCTGGAGAAAAGTAGGCTCAGGGGGACTTTATTGCTCTCTACAACCACCTGAGAGGAGGTTGTAGACTGGTGGGGGTTGCTCTCTTCTCCCAAGTAACAAGCAACAGGACAAGAAGAAATGGCCTCGAGTTGTACCATGGCAGGTGTAGATTGAATATTAGAAAAAATTTCTTTACTGAAAAGGTGATCAGGCATTGGAACAAACTGCTTAGGAAAGTGGTGAAGTCCATGGGAATGTTCAAAAAACATGTGGATGTGGCACCTGGGACATGGTTTAGTGATGAACACACTAGTTTTGCAGGTTAATGATTGGACTTGATGATTTTAGATTTTAGTCTTTTCCAAACTAAATGATTCTGCGATTCCATGAAGTCAAAGCTTTGCTCAAGATTGAGAGGGTATGGAGGGAGGGGCTGTCTTTAGAAGAAACTGTGAGCATAGGCCAAAGAAGGTGCATAGCAGTTACCTCACCTGAAAAAGGGACTGAACATCCAGGTTTGCACAGGCATCAGACAACATTTGCCACTTTCTGTCTTCACAGACGAAGCTTGTGTCCCCATGGAAGGAGGGAGAACAAGGCTGAATACAAATAGCTCCATTGTCTTGGCAGGGAATGACATTTATACAGGAATCTGGAAAATAAATCAAGCAGATAATGTTATAAGGTGTAAGA